GGGCGGCCGGAAGCAGGGGGCGGGGCTTTGTCATGTGCCCCGCCCCCTGCACCTCACCCGGGGGATCTGCGTTCCCCCGCGTCCCCCCCCCAAATGACCTCTGATTCTAATTGTGAAATAATGAAGGCTGTTGCAAAATTTTTATATTATGCAATCAGAAGACGAGGCTTGGATAGCCAAGTGTAAGTGACTGATGCATCTTAGTATTTTGCTGTATTTCCATGATGTTTTGTGCTTTCAATGGTGTGTGTGATAACAGGTGATCTGGTGGAATTGGTTATTAAAGATAGAATTAGTAGGCACATTGATGAACAAAAGCTATTGCGGAAGAATCAGCATGGATTCTGTAAGGGAAGATCTTGTCTCCCTAACCTTTTAGAGCTCTTAGAGGGGGTGAATAAACATGTGGACAAGGGTGACCCAATAGATGTTGTTTACCTAGACTTCCAGAAAGCTTTTGATAAAGTTTGTCCTCAAAGGCTCCCAAGTAAACTCAGCAGTCATGGGATAAGAGGACAAGTCCTCTTGTGGATTAGAAACAGGTTAATTAACAGGAAACAGATAATGAGTATAAATGGGTAGTTTACACAGTGGAAGGTGGTAAGCAGTGAGGTATACCACAGAGCTCAGTACTAGGTCCAGTGCTTTTTAACTTGTTCATTAATGATTTGGAGTTGGGAGTAAGCAGTGAAGTGGCTAAGACCGCGGATGACACTAAAGCCGAATCTGCATTTAGCATTTGCTCCGCTGTCTTACCAAACCCACACTGGAACAGAAATTCCCATCTACATTGCATGCCACTTTCACTTTGATTGACTGTCAAATTTTATAGCAGCACCCAGACTGCATGCTGCTTTCACTTTGTTTGATCTCTGGTTTTATTGTGGCTGTCTGCATAGATTTATGGCCATTTTATGGTCATTCAGGGGTGACTCTGCACTGCAGTCAGTATGGCATTAACCTGGGGTATTTGGTCGAATTTGCATTTGCATTTTTAAATCAGTTTCGTGTTGCTGTGACACTGGCTGAATCTGCATTTGTCTTCCCCACCAGTATCCCAGGCTTTTGACTCAGTCTAAAAAAAAGCGGTCTACATTTGGTGTCATTTTCACACCTCAAGAGTGCTAGCATATGTTTATCGTCCACATATGTTTATCGTCTTTTCCGGGCGGCTCCACTGTCATGGCACCTCTGCACTGCTTTAAAAGAATCTTCTCCAAACAACATTCAAACAAACATAGAGAAAGACGGTGTCACAGCAGCATGAAACTAATTTAAAATGCAAATGCAGATTCGACCACCGTCTTTTGTGTTTAATTTCTAAAAATTGGACTTTAAGTGTTTGCAATACAAGTTTTGCGAGAGCAGTCAGAGAAGTATTGTTGCTTGGGTTTTGAAAAGAAAAGGAAAAACCATTTACCTCTCTCAGCACTTGTCTGCAAGCCCCACAGGGCATGGTGTAGTCTTCTTGCATATTGCTGTTGGGACAGAATAAAATGTAATGCCAGGTAGCGGAGATATCAACTTTATAAAGGACACAAACACAATTTTTTTTTACTTACAATAAAAACATGCATAAAACATTATCTTGCAATATTTTGCTTATCTAACAGTGTCTGATAACTGTCACCTCTTGCTCTGAAGTATTGCATCAAAATGTCTGTGCTGTTGCAATCTTGAGTATGCTGTTCAAGTGCGTATTTGTAAGCTGCAAACCTACGATGAGGCAGAAGCAATAGAACTGAAAGCAGAAGACAGCCAGTTCCACTGTGGGACTGATAGAAGCCCTCCGGGGGCCTGATCTGGCCCCCAGGCTGCATGTTTGACACCCCTGCTCTAGACGGTGGAGTCTAGGAAGGGCAGACCTCAATGGAGAATAATCTTATCGAGTTCACCCTCCAAAGCAGCCATTTGCTCCAGAGGAACTGATTTCTATCATCTGGAGATCAGTTTGAATTCCAGGAGATCTCCAGGCCGTACCTGGCAGTTGGCAACCCTAGGATGTGCTTCCTCCCTCTTTCCCCTCTGCCTGCGGCTGCTGTTGTGGTGCAGTGTATTTTCACGCACCCCTGCTGATGCAGTTGTTGTTTTCTTGACACTGTTGTGTTTTATAGGCTACGCCTGTCAGCTGTTGCAATAATGGGTAGCTGTGTTTGGCATGGCCCTTGCAGATGGGGGTGGGGTTCAAATCCCCATTCTGCCCTTAACGTCACTGGGTGACTCTTTGCCAGATGCCGTCTCTTGAAACTTACCTTGCAGTAAGGTTGCCAACCTCCAGGTGGCACCTGGAGACCTCTGACTATTACAGTTCATCTCCAGACCACCAAGGTCAGTTCCCCTGTAGAAAATGGCTGCCTTGGAGGGTGGACTTCATGGCATGATATCCTGCGGATGTAATGCTTAGTCCCTCCTCTGGGTTTTAATAACTAGGAGAAAGGCCCTGAGCTCCCTTGGTAGCATATAAATGGCTTATCCATTGGGGGCATACTTACCTAGTAATAGCCATGGCTTGAAATTTGGTATATCCTTCTGACACTGCCTTCTGGATGGCTGTACGTTCAGCACAGACACCCAGGGGATAGCTTGCGTTTTCAACGTTGCAGCCTGAAAAGATTACAGATCGTGTTCGGGTCCATTCTCACCCAGCCAAACCTTAGAATCCCTATCTCTTTTGACAGTAGTGACCCTGATTGACCGAGCGACTGTGGTGTCATGGAATGTTCCATTGCTCACAGAACAAAGGAGTTTGTAGGCCAGCTTCTGTGAGGAAGGGAATGTTGTCAGGTTAACTGGGTTTGAAATCTCACTGGGACTAACTGGGCAATAAATCAAAGTCCTTACATTAAGATATTAGAATTTACACGCTCCCATACACACACAAACACACACACATTCCTCTGAAGGTTTAATGCTGAGCCCTCATAGGCTACATTCATAATGCTCTGGAAAAGCGCTCACATTCAGACTTTGGTGTGTCTCCAAGATGAAAGCATTTTATGTTTTTACGAAGCTGTGGCCATCTTTGCCAATGGGAAGAAACAAAGTAGAAAGAATAGAATCTGATTTTAAAAAAATAAGAGAACGCCATAACTCTGGGGAGCAGGGCCGGCTCACTCACTAGGTGAACTAGGCGATCACCTAGAGTGGGAGGGCCCTTAGGGGCACCAAACTGCACCCGGCCCCGTACTCTGGGAGTTTCTTGATTATTTGTGTTTTTCATTCTTCCTAAAATGCATTTATTTTTGAAAATTGGGGGGCGCATGGGGGGGGGCAGAAGGGATCCTCGCCTAGGGTGCAAAATAGGCTGGAGCCAGCCCTGCTGGGGAGGTACCGTAGAGGGTGGTCAACCTTCAGGTGGGGCTGGAAGGTCTTCCAGAATTACAATGGATCCCTAGATGGCAGAGATCAGCTCCCCTGGAGAAAACAGCTGTTCTGGAGGGTGGACTCTAGGGCATTATACCCTGTGGAGGTCCCTCCCCTCCTCAAGCCCCGCCCTCTCAGGCAGCCCTCCCAACTCTCCAGGTATTTTCCGAACCTGGAGTCTGGCGATATTTATATTTATTATTTATTTAGGGTTGCCAGGTCTGGCCTGGAAAATACCTGGAGGCTTTGGGGGTGGATCCAGGAGAGGGCGGGGTTTGGGGAGGGGAGGGGCCTCAGCATGGTACAGTACCACAGAGTCCACCCTTCAAAGTAGCCATTTTCTCCAGGGGAGCTGATCTCTGTCCGCTGGAGATCAGTTGTAAAAGCAGGAGATCTCCAGGCCCCACCTGGAGGCTGGGGGGAAAAAGTTCTTCACCAACTTGTGAATTCTTTTTTCAGTATTCAGTTTACTAGAAGCAATTCAAATGCCGTCAACCCCAACGAACCATGCATATTACATTACCTCTGTCAAAGTGGGTAGCGTTGAAATGTTAATCCCCTTGGCAAACACTCCAGTCATATCTCATAGTCACATTCATCAAATCCAACTAGTATATTCATTCATTCATTTGTTTTGAATTAGTTAAGGCAGGAGCGGGGAGAGGAGGGGACCCAACAAGAGAAGCAAAAATCTAAGTGCTAACAAAACGATGACTGAGGGGTGACATGATCAAGGTTTATAAGATTATGCATGGGAAAGAGCAGGTAGAGAAAGAGGTACTTTTCTCCCTTTTTCACAATACAAGAACTCGTGGGCACTCCATGAAATTGCTGAGCGGTCGGGTTAGAACGGATAAAAGGAAGTACTTCTTCACCCAAAGAGTGATTAACACTTGGAATTCACTGCCACAGGAAGTGGTGGAAGCTACAAGCATGGACGGCTTCAAAAGGGAATTAGATAAGCATATGGAGCAAACAGTGGGAGGGCTTCTAATGTCCTGGCCCCACTGGTGGACCTCCTGATGGCACTGGTATTTCTGGCCACTGTGAGACACAGAGTGTTGGACTGGATGGGCCTTTGGCCTGATCCAACATTGGCGTCTCTTATGTTCTTATGTTCTAACGCTGTGAGCGTGAGGCTCACTCACAGCTACGGCTCACTAGGCCGAAGTCCTAAGAGCCTCCCAAGCCAGACTCATTCCTTACACGGAGAAGGAAGTGCCTCTGGGAACCTTTTCCGTGTGAGGGTTGACTTTTTCTCAGGAAGCACATGTTGTCCAGTACAATACTTTTTTGGGAACTTAATCTTTATGTAGGGACAGGGGGGCATTAAGTGGAGAACCTGCAGATCCTCCTCGACCCTCCTTTCTAGAGCTGCCAACCTCCAGGTGGTGCCTGGAGATCTCCTGGAATCACAACGGGTCTCCAGACTACATAGCCCAGATCCCATGGAGAAAATGGCAACTTTGGAGCGCGAACGCTATGGCATGACATCCCGGTTGAGGCCCCTCCCCTCTGCAAACTCCGCCCTCTCCAGGCTCCTCCCCCAAACCTCCAGGAACGTCCCAAGCCAGAGCTGGTAGCCCTACGGGTGAGAGCCAGGTCTGGGGTAGTGGGGAAGGCTAGACTACACCTTCACTTACCGGAGAAAATCTTGCCGTCCAAAGTCAGGAGTGCAGCCCCCACTGGGAAGTGGCTGTAAGGGCAGTACGCAAACTTTTTTGCTTCTCTGCACGCATTCAAAAGGAGCTGTATCTGATCAGATTGAACTCCGGCGGGTTGAGAGTCCTGAGGGGAACTGCGTTGCTGCTTTTGAGCCATTCTGAAGCTCAGGAGGGTTCTCACATGCCCTGTGAGCCCCGAGCCAGGAGGGAAGATGCGTGCGTTCGGAAAGGATCTCCCTCACGCTCTTCAGCGTGCATATGTGGCCGTCAACTTCTTCTTCTTTCCTGCTTTCACCACAAAAGTCATAAACACCAAGCCATCACACACAGGGGCAGATTAACCATTAAGCAGACTAAGCACATGATTAGGGCACCAGGGCCAAAGGGGGCACCACAAAGTTCAGAAAAGGGTGAAAAGCTTAGTTTGTACAGTATATTGTGTTATCATATGAATAAATTTTTGTATTGCTATACATTCTTGTATTGCTGCAACCTGCATTGTCTATCTGGTCAGAAAGGTCAACGACTAAAATGGACTGGGGGTCAGTGTGGAAAGGAGGGGGGCACCAAGATTGGTCAGTGCTTAGGGCACCAGTGAGTCTTCATACGCCCCTGATCACACACTTAAAAGGGAAGCCTAAAGTTTACTATCTGAGTTTGAGAGAAGAAAATTACAATTTATTGTATTTTAGCCATAGGCCATTACAAGCCAAAGATAACAGCAGAGAGGAATACTGTAAACATGAATAATGGTATAAAATTGAGTAAAATCTAAGATATTATAAAACCATAAAACCAAAGTTATAAGCAATTAATTGAATCAAAACGTACCCACTAAGATCAATATTAACTAGTTCCCATAAGAACAGCGTTGGCCCGTATTTTCTTTGCAGCCAAGGCAAATAGAGCCATTCTACAGGATATCTTGGCATTGGAATCAGCTAACAAAAATACAGTCTTCTCAGAGTCTGAATAAAAGCTTAAGTCTGATAAAATACCAGAAAGAAATTTTAACCTAGGTTGGGTATACATTGAGCATTCAAGGATATAATGGAGAAGATCCTCAATAACAGAAGAGCCACAAATACAAAAGCACTGTTCTACTATCTGAGTTACAGCTGCCAAAAATTTGAGCCACTTGCCACCTCACCTGTCAGTAATCAAGAAGACTTAGGTGAGAGAGAGAGAGAGAGAGAGCGAGAGAGAGAGAGAGAGAGAGTGTCCTGAGTAAGCAAAGGAAAAATCAGTTCGGCTCTCAAATCTGAAAATTCAGGGCAAACTAAAAGAATAGGATCTACAGAGTCACTTCTGTTAGAACCACATCTGCCGAATCTATCAGAGTATGGAATACCCTTAAACCTTCCTCAATCATACAGTCCTGTGATCCTCCATAACATGGCCACTGACTGGGTAACAGCAGGGGTCATTTCCTGCAGGAGCGCACAGGAGCAGAGCTCCGGCAGTAATGAGCCCAGAGGGCGGGCACATGCAACAAGCCCCACCCCCTGCTCCCAGCAGCCCTCATTCAGAGCAAGACGCAGCCAGGTAAGTTGCAGAACCCCCCCAGCCCAAAACAGTCCAGTGGCACCTTTAAGACCAAGTTTTATTCAGGTACAAGCTCTCCCTCCTCTGCAAGGGCACGCGCCACGCCCCCCCCCCATAGCAAGCAAGCCAAAACAGTCCAGTGGAGCCTGAGTGGTGGGTGTTGCCTTCTGACACACTTCCGGTGATGTCAGGGTGCGTGGCATATGCAAATGAGTTATGCTAATGAGCCCCCTGCACCTCTTTTTCTACGAAATGAGCCCTGGGTAACAGTGTGTGTGTCCCTACAAGCGGGCCCATCCTGGTTCTCTCTCGGTAAACATCTTAGTTAATTTTCCGAGCGAAGCGTTCTGATCTTTGATCTTCTGCCGACCAAGCCACCCGTCCACGGACAAGGTGCAAGGCCTTCCCCCCTCACGCGATCGCTTTTCCTGGGAACAAATTCACCAATGTTTTGGGCTGCCAAGAACTGTTGGCAGCTTGTCCTTACGTGCTCCGTCAGTTCCCTTGTGGGCCTCTGTCCTTCTCTGCTTTGCATGGGTGGTAATATTTGTCCCCGTGGAGAGAACAGAATCCGGGTGAGCTGGGGAACATTAGCTGCTCAAACCGGAACTCGGACTTGGGGAATGAGTTTATGCTTTTGTTCTTTGTTCATAAGAGTTACTCTGGCGATTCTTTCCTGGTCATCTTGGCACAAGGATGTCGAACATAACACAGCCCAGCCTCCATCTCTATTTCACCCCAGTGCCAAAACGAAGTCAGCTGACCCAAAACCCAGTTGAGTTCAGTGGCGATTGGGAACTTGCATAAGGTCTGTTTAGAATGTGGGTCATGAGCGGCCTTGGGAAGAGCCTTTCAGAGTTGTAAACAAGGTTTCAGTGTCTGTATTTTTAATTGTTAGATAACAGACACACACACCCTTTTAGATGCATGGTAAGTTGGGAGTAATGACCAGATCTGCAGTATCTGTGTTTTTAATTGGTAAATAACAGACCCCCCCTTTTATTTATTTTTTTAATAAGTTTATTTGTACGTTTTCTATTACATAAAATAACGAACAGAGTAATACATATACATTTGTTGGAAGTACAAATGGTGGATTTTCTAACAGTTTTTTCCCACCCAGTTATAAACTTTCTGCCACCTATTTTGAAAAATTGTTTCATCTTTTCCTGAAAGAGTCGTATTCAGTTTTGACACCTTCCCCCTTTTACATGGTAAACAGAGGTACTGACCTGCTATAGTTGAGGGCCTACGAACCTCTGTGACCATCCCTGACAGTATGTATACATTTAGCTGACATAGAGGTTGCAGCAGGTAGTGAACTTTGTGTGTTCACTGAATGTGCAAAGAAGGCTGAACTAATGTGACACCGTGTATGTGTGTGTGTGTGTGGCGCTTTCACAATTATCCTGGAGAGCTGACCATGGAGAAGGGCCACTTATTTGAGCAACAAGCTAGTTCATACATGCAGGAGACTGCGGCCCAGCCCTGTGGTGGCAGAAGGGACTTTACCATTTTCGACTGCTGTGGATGGATTCCAGTTTTGAACCTTCTTTTGCATTCTTTTGCTGTTGTTTTAAAAAACTTCCACACAAAACAGAAAACTGCAACACAGGGGAAAAGGTCTACCATCTATGGATATTTTTTTTCAAAGGGGAGTTTTTTTAAAAAAAGGGGAACATCCCGAGATATGACCCTTCCACCTACAATCTGAAGTGGCGCAGACCGTTTTAGCCTTTGCCACTTCATTTCTCCGCAGGGTCTTCAGAGCAGACCCATTAAGACTGACTGAGGTAACAATGCCTATTGTCCTGACTTGTTTTGAAGGCGATTTACATATTACTTCGGCATTGCATACACTGAACACACAATGCTACCTTATACTGAATCAGTCTAATACTGTCTACTCAGATTGGCAGAGGGTCTCCAGGGTCCCAGGTGAAGGCCTTTCACCTCACCTTTTGCCTGGTCTTATTAACTGGAGGTGCTGTGGATTGAACCTATTGCCTTCTGCATGCCAAGCAGATGCTCTACCACTGAGCTACTGAGCCATGTTAGTTCATCTCCCGCTCTTTGTTGTCAGTTACATCTTGGGCAACTTGATGATGGGCAACCCTGGAGAGCCATGGAAGAGGGGCTGTGGCTCAGTGGTAGAGCATCTGCTTGGCATGCAGGGCTTCTGGAGTTCTGTCCCTGCTGGTTGACCTCCTGATGGCCTCTGGTACTTTTTGCCACTGTGTGATACAGAGTGTTGGACTGGATGGGCCATTGGCCTGATCCAACATGGCTTCTCTTATATTCTTATTCTTATAATACATAGTTGTGTGTTGTGAACTGATTCTTTAATATCTAATAGCCTACCCTTTGGCATATTGTACATTCTACAGCTTGACAAGGAAACCATTCCGACTCAGCCTAGAAATGTCTCCTCCTCTTCCTGGTACTCACCTGAATATTCTCAGGATCTATGGATTCTCTATTGCAGGCCGTTTTTTAAAAAGGGGGAACATCCTGAGATATGACGCCTCCAGCTACAATCTGAAGTGGTGCAGACCGTTGTGCCATTTCAAGTCTTTGCCACTTCATTTCTCTGCAGGGTCTTCAAAGCAGACCTGCTAAGACTGACTGAGGTAACAATGCCTATTGTCCTGACTTGTTTTGAAGGCAATTTACATTTTACTTCAGGCATTGCATGTGTTGAGTGCACAGAGCTGCCTTATACCGAATCAGTCAATATTGTCTACTCAGATATGGAATAGACTGCCCTTCGGCATAGTGTACGTTCTACGGCTTGACAAAAAAACACCCATCCAAACTCAGCCTATAAAAGCTGACTTCTCCTCTTCCGTGCACATGGAGCACTCATCTGAATTTTCTCAGGATCTTGACACTAGGGATGGGCATGAACTGGAAAAATGTGGTTTGTGTTGGTTTGTGGTTTGTGAATTTTCTCAGGATCTTGACACTAGGGATGGGCATGAACGGGAAAAATGTGGTTTGTGTTGGTTTGTGGTTCGTGGCTGAACCATGAACCAAACCACGAACTCAACTAGGAGGTTCGTTTGCATACCAAACTGGTTTGCGGTTTGTGGCCTCGCAAACCCCATTGAAAGGGACCAGAGTCCCTTCAAATGGGGTTTGCAGAAAGCGTGGAAAACAGCTGAACAATGGGGAGCAGGCTGCTCCCTGTTGCTCAGCTGTTCTTGAGGCTTCTGTAGGGAACAGAAGGCATGGGTTTAAAGTGACGCGCAGTTCCTTTAAACCCCTGTTTTCTGCTCTATCCATGATGAACTGTCATGAACTGTCACTAACAGCTTTAAAAGTTTGTGGAAGTTGGCAATGATAGACCCATCACAAATTTCAGTTCATGAACCACAAACAGGACAAGATTTGTGATGGATTTTGCTTTGTGGTTAAGTTCATGCCCAGACCTACTTGACACTTCATTATTTTACACACTCATTTTTTTCTAATATATTTATACCTTGCCTGTCCAGATTATGCGCAAGGTGATTCACGGTATCAACAAAATATACCAGTTCATTAAAAACAACAGATTGCAAGCTGTCCAGGCCAGGGGGAAGAAATGCCAGCAAAAAAATAAAGTCAAGCAAATTATGTACTGGGGGAAGAAAGCAGCATAAAAAAGTGTTTAAAAATAGAATAAAAGCAGAATAATCCAGTGATTTAATGACCAGGAACAACAATGTAATAAAAAGCCTTCTGAAGCCAACTATATCTTCTGGCTAATACATTTTTATCCTGGCTTCAGGGTGGGCCCTCCTTACACATTTTATCTTCACAACAATCCTGTGAGGGAGGTTAGACTGAGAGGGTATGACTAATTCAGGGTCACCCAGCAAGTCTGTAGTCCAGAGATTTTAATCCAAGCCTCCCAAATGCTGGGCTGTGATCACACACAAGAAATAATCCACTTTCAATCCACATTCAGTGCACTTTCGAATTGGATTTTGTCAGTTCACACAGTAAAAATCCAATTGGAAAGTGCATTGAAAGTGGATTATTTCTTGTGTGTGATCACAGCCCTAGTCTGACACTTTAACCACTACACAGCACCGTCACCTGGTGTCTGAATGACTGCACTGAGGGTAGCAGGTGATCCTCTAAAAAGAGACTATTCCACAGTCATGGAGCCACCATGGAAAAGGCCCTTCCCCCAGTTACTACCTATATCAACTCTCTTGGGAGGGGCCCCCCAAAGCAGAGCTTCAGAAAATGATCTCAGTGGATGAGAAGACAGTTCCTGGTCCCTTTCAAAAGAAGGGAAAGGGGGATAGGAGCTGAACCCACACTGTTTCCCCTGTAGAAATCACACACACTCCAGCACTGGGGAAAGGACAGGTAGTTTTATGAAACCTGTCTTTTTCCCTACCATAGCTAGGGTTGCCATTACCTGGGGGAAAATGTCCTGTCTTTTTAACTGAGGCTTAATGTGTGAAAGTGGGCAGCTTTTGGTAGCATGGAGGTAAATCACATCACCCAGTAAATAACAACCCATTAATCATCTAGGAAAGGGACAGGACATTTGTTTTCCCTCCAGAGAGTTGACAACTCTACTAACAGCCTGGGAGCTGTGGGAGAAAGGTTAACCCTCCCCATAGTCGTGGCCCAGATCTAGATCATACTCTAATTGCTACATCACACTGACTTGTGCGTGGGAGTAGTTTAAGACCTGGGTCGGAGTCTTGCTACCCTTGCCTGAAAACGGGTTGAATCCATGCTGCAAACTATGGCATAAGCATCTGAAGAACCTACAGGGAGATACATAAGAACATAAGAACGTAAGAGATGCCAATGTTGGATCAGGCCAAAGGCCCATCCAGTCCAACACTCTGTATCACACAGTGGCCAGAAATACCAGGTGCCATCAGGAGGTCCACCAGTGAGGCCAGGACATTAGAAGCCCTCCCACTGTTGACCCCCCCCAGCACCAAGAAGACAGAGCATCACTTGCCCCAGAGCCCCTATCTATACCTTGTGGCTAATAGCCACTGATGGACCTCTGCTCCATATGCTTTATCTAATTCCCTTTTGAAGCCGTCCATGCTTGTAGCACCCACCACTTCCTGTGGCAGTGAATTCCAAGTGTTAATCACTCTTTGGGTGAAGAAGTACTTCCTTTTATCCATTCTAACCCGACCGCTCAGCAATTTCATGGAGTGCCCACGAGTTCTTGTATTGTGAGAAAGGGAGAAAAGTACCTCTTTCTCTACCTGCTCTTTCCCCCCAGATCTAGATCATACTCTAATTGCTACATCACACTGACTTGTGCGTGGGAGTAGTTTAAGACCTGGGTCGGAGTCTTGCTACCCTTGCCTGAAAACCGGTTGAATCCATGCTGCAAACGATGGCATCGGCATCTGAAGAACCTACAGGGAGACACCCATTCCCATCTATGAACTCCAGCAGGTTATGTATGCACAAGCATCGTCTCATGGTTTTACAGGTGAAGCCAGGGGTGGGGGGTGACCAAGTGTCCGAACTGAGCTTCTGGTG